AGCGTCGACCTCATTAACTCTTAATACAGAGTCATTAAAGAGCTGTCAGACGGTTTAAAAGGTTTCAGACTGAAATGACCCAAAAACCAAACAAAGACACATTCATAACCAAACACTGTTTAAACAGCAGAGAACAATAAAGATTATTTAAACTGACAATGAGAAACACTGAACACGAAAATGTCTGCTCATCAGATGAGGTTTGGATTTGACTAAAACTTAATACACTTGTTAAATTTCTAATTTATTCTGAACAAACACACTTTGATTTTATTTCATTTGTTCAACATTCATTTAGTGATTTATCTGAGTTTATTTATTAACAGAAACATAAAATCAGCTTCAGACTGACTTAGAGAAGCAAGCACCGATTCCTCACTTTGATATTGATCATATTATTGATATTAAAAGTTTCTCTCATAAAATATTTCAAATCATTTAAAAACTGAAGATTTAAAAATGATTCATGTGTTCAGAGGCTGCTCTTCATGTTGCTGAGGTGTCAGTACAGACCGGAGGGTTTTAGGACCCGGGGAAGCCTCAGAGAGGAGGAGGGTCTGAGGGGCGGTGCATCAAGCTCCCGCAAACTGACACAATCAGACAGGAAGACGTGTGAACGTTCCCTCCAAAATAAAATTAATTTTTCTCGGCGAAAAGTGTTGAAGTGAAGCAGAAATTCATTTTAGAAAGATTTTGAAGAGACAAGTAAAAGATGAATTTAGGAAGAGACAGGTGCATCAATAAAAGTGAGTGAGAGAGAGGAGAGAGAGAGAGAGAGAGAGAGAGAGAGAGACCAGGAGCTCCAGGGTCATCAGATGGAACTCAATCTCCATGCTAACATGTTAGCAAGTTAGCATGGAGCATACTAGCATGTTAGCAAGAATCTGTGGTGCAGGTTTCTGACCAGTGATGCGCTCAAAGTTATTATAGTTTATGAATTTTCAGTGGTTTTTGTTTTTTTTTCATTTTTCTTTTTGTAGTTTTAATTCGTTTTAAAGCAGGTTTGTTTAGTTTAGTTTAGTTTAGTTTAGTTTAGTTTAGTGTGCAGCCTACATGTGTATATCTTACTCTTTTCTTTACAATATTACCACACGTTATAACGACGATCAAGATGTTTTATTTTGAAGGTCACAACAGGAAGTGTTTGTTTTCATTGTTGCTGACGTGACTCAGCTCGCTCCGTCAGACAGCGTGGAGGGGGCGGGGCTTATCGGCCTCGGTGCAGCTGTGACGCGGTCGGTCAGTCTGGACGGAGCTTCAGGAGGAGCGGCAGCAGGACGGAGCTCACCCCGACCCTCCACCTCACTCTGTCGGATCTACCCACCGCTACGGCCACGGGGCATGCTGGGATTTACCTGGATACCAACCTGAGTGGACCCGGGACCCATTTACCGGATTAATTTCACCTGTTTGTCCGCAGGAGGACCGTTAGACCACCGGTTGATACTGGGAGCTGCAGAGACCAGTTTGAGGATCAGAGTCTGGATTCACTTTGTGCCCGAGTCTGTTTAACTCGGTTTTATTTACTCGGTTTAACTGAACCAAGACAGTTGAACCAGGTGATTAACCCAGGTGAGTGACTCCAGGTGATTCCTCTCAGTTGATCCGGTGTCTACTGAGGCGTCCCGCTGCGCTCCGCCCCGCACAATGCTGTTCAAGTCCGGCAGATCCTCCGGACCCTGATGCTGCAGAGACCCTGAGGTCACACCGCAGAGTCTGACGGAGGACATGCTGCTGTCCGCGCCCTCCAGGCGGGACACGGACGGCCGCTGCAGCCGGGACAGAGCGGCTGCGGACGCGGATGCGGCGGAGCGGCAGCGCTCGGTGCGGGAGCGGCTGGAGGCCACCGTGTCCGGGCTCGGGGAGCTGGAGTACCTGCGGCAGCGGCAGGAGGTGCTGGTCCGGGCCGCGCTGGAGCTCCGGGAGTCGGCGGCGGAGGAGGAGGAGGCGGAGCGGCGGAGGGAGGCTCAGCTGAGCTCCGAGGAGAAGCTGCTGGAGGAGAACATCCTGCTGCTCAGGAAACAGCTGGTAGGTCCTGACCTGTCTGTCTCATGACCTCTGACCTCCCTGACCCCAGTCTGCAGGGATGACTCAGGTGTGTGGTGTGAGGTCAAAGGTCATAGGTGAAGACGGGGTCAGCCTGTTTTCTTTTTAATATAGAAACAGAGGATGTGATGAACAGAACAGGAGGAGAGAGATGACCCGGTCTGTCCTTTACTGATGACGCTGATTGATTCAGAGGAATGTGACAGTGAATTAAATTGAAGTACTTTCAAAATAAATTAGAACATGAATAAAGATTTCAAAAATAAAAAGCAGGAAAGTGTCAGTTAAAACTAAAACATTTACACACATGAAAAATATTTGAAAAATGACTTTATAAATCAACAGGTGAGTGTGACAGTCAGATCAGTGACACAGTGGATCAGCGACTGTCTGCAGAGTTCAAACTGTTTTCATCATCTTTTTATTCATATTTCAATGACTTTCCTCAAAAACGCCCTGATTCTCTGGGACATTTCTTGTTTTTATTGGAAACATGTTGAACTCAATGTTTTTAATATTCTGGAGTTTGAAAGCCCAGGGAGGAAAGGCTTTTTTTTTTTTTGCCAGGATCTTTTTTTTATTTATTTTTAAATTGTATCAGTGTTTGATTTTGTATTTGATGTTTTTAATAAAAATAAATAAATAAATAATCTAAATAAAAGCAAACAAATTACTACAAAAATTTCATATTATTTTTTGTCAGGATCTACTCAGTGTTTGCTTTTGTAAAAAAAAAAAAAAAGGTTTTTGTAAAAAATAAAACATTTCTACAATTTTTTCATCTCTGAAAACGAGGCAAGTGAAAAAAATACAATCACAAGTTTTTTTTCCCCTTAGAAAAAAAAATTACATTGGTGTATTTATACAGATGAAGAAAAACTTGTTTACAAAAAACTTTTTTAGAATGATCCTGGCAAAAAAAGTTCACTTGCCTTTCAGGGCTTCCGTAGTTTGTTCAAATGAAACCATTTAAAAATATGTTTTTATTTTGTAGCAGTGAAGCTCAGAGAAGAGATCTTTACAAACAGGTCATTAAATCGCTGTATGTTTGTTTTTAAAAAAGAAGAAGACCCAGACCAGAACCCTGAGGGACTCCTTCAGCATGTTCACTCATCTGTTGTGAAATAACACAGGAACATAAATGCCTGTGAACTCACAGATTCGTTTCACAAAGGAAGAAAAAGTGGAGCTTCATGTTGTAACTACGAGACAGTTTTCTCATAATAATTAGCAAATTGTTTTCTGATAATTATGAGAAAAGGTTCAGAGGGTTGTCAATCACATTCATATGTATTAAAATCTTAAAAGAAAATAATGAATATTATTTTATTAACAGACATTACAGATTATTTATTATTACATGAATCATGTTCCAGCTGATGGAGTCACTTCTTCTCCTTTAATGAGGAGGATTCATCTTTAATGTCAGATAATAAACATCCTGAAGACGATGATGTCATGGATGATGAACTCACACTGCTTTAATCTGTGAGTGTGTGTGTTGGTGGGGGGTGGGGAGAGGTGAGGGGGAGGGTTTATGTTTGACTGAAATGAACTCCTCTGGTCTGATCCTCTGCCCCCCGCGGCTCAGAGAGGATGCTGGGAGTCTCAGTGATCCCAGGTTTAAGATATTTCACCAGGGGGAGGAGGGGGAGTGTGTGTGTGTGTGTGTGTGTGTGTGTGTGTGTGTGTGTGTGTGTGTGTGTGTGTGTGTGTGTGAAATCTAAACACCCGCTTTCAATTAAAGAGGCGTGATGAGCCATCGTGGCCTGAAGCAGCTCAGACAGAATGAACACACACACACACACACACACACACACACACACACACACACACACACACACACACACACTGTCTGGTCTTCATGTTGGTTGTTTTCAGTCAGGCAGTGTGATCAGTCGTCTCTGGTCATGTGACTGAAGACTAGTGGTGCAGACCTCCACACAGGGACTCGGTGAACTGGACTGTGGACTTCGTTGAAGCTGGTTTGTCATGAACTCAGACCGTGACGGAGAGTCAGGTCCAAACGTCATCACACACGTAGCACACAACCGGAGACGGTCCGGGTCAGGCGTTTCCTCACCTGCAGGAAGTATCTGTTTTGGTTAATGCGAGGGGCGGGGCCTGGCGGTGTCTCTCCATTTGGACGTTTACGTTTCATCTTCCACCCTCCGATGTTCGTATTTCTCTGGTTTCACAGTTGAACTTCCTGTGGCTCCAGACCTGCTCAGTGTTCAGGAGGACGTCTGGACCAGTCTTCTTACAGACCTGTGTCAGTCAGACAGAGTCTCTCTCCTCAGCTCAGTCCACAGCATCTCTACTGGATTCAGGTCTGGGCTGGACCCCTCCAGGAAGTGGATTTCCTGTGATGTTTAGGGTCATTGTCTTCTCCTGAGGCGGACAGACACCCTGACATTATCCTAGAAGAGTCCTTGATGAACTTAATGATGTGGAGCTGCTCCAGGTCCAGGTCCAGGTCCAGAGGCAGCAGAGACCCAGATCCTGATGCTCCCCCCACCCTGCTCCACCTGTGGGAGGACATCAGTCCATAGAACAGTTTCCAGGAGTGTTGTGGAGAGTGAGACTTCAGGACTGTTGACTGATGAAGATCCAGACTCTTCTTCATCCTCAGACTCTGAGGTCAGACAGTCTCTGAGACCTTTGTTGTGAGGCCTGGTTCACATCAGCTGATGTTTCTCTAAACGTCTCGATGTGGTTTATGAGTCAAAGTGTCTTTGAGCCTCTAAACCTCCGATCTGGTCTCACTCGCTGACTCCAGGTCTGATGAGTCCTGACTCTTCCCACGGAGTCCGACAGCAGCTTCTTCTTCTCTGGTTTTATCTCTGACCCACCTCCATCACTGACCATAGCCTGAGCTCAGCTGAGGGTTATGGTCAGTGAGTCAGCCCCCCCCCCCCCCCCCCCGAACGTCCTACTCTATCACGGCATAAAAA